GGCTTGTGTTCTTGACTCAACTGGCTAGGACAGACAGCGAAGCAGGGCCAATCAGGGCACTAGGTCGTCCTTACGTGTTTACGTGTGCACTGTCGCCGGATCGATCGATAAATAAACGCTGCGTATCAAACCCTGCAGTCACTCACCCGTTACAACAATTGGCGACGGGGTAGAGAAAATTTTGAACCCTCTAGTTGGACGAGATTCAGCATAATTATTTTGACCAATCAGTATCCAGATTTGTCGGCGTGCTTGGGAATCATTGGTTGTTAATTGATTACAGTATTTCTCATTACTCTGCTGATTCAGAAAATGACTATCCCTCCCGATCAATTGCAGCTACTACTAGATCGCCAGCAGCAGCGTTTCAGAGAAAGCCAGTTGAATGTTTTGGACTATTTACGCACGCGACTGCTAGATCTCCCATGTTTCGGAGATGTGAAAGAAACTGATGAATTAATTTCTCACTTACATACTGAACTCGAGAATGACTGCAGGACATATGAAGATGAAAACAAAAGCCTCTATGAATCCCTTATGAACAGTAATGCATACGAGGCAGTCGCTCATAATCCGTCCAGCGATGCGGAAATGTCCAGTTCAGAATCATGCCCTGTTGTGGGTTCAAATCCCACTGTTCCTGAAACGTGTACAGACAGTGATGTACCCTGCTCACAGGAAGAATATCTCTTATTAAATGCTCATAAATTAATTACAGTACCCACTCACAAGAAAACAGGAAACAAGTCGTGCAGTATACTGAGTCTAGCTGCTCCGAACGGTCCTCATCAGTCAACAACAGGAGACTCTGATGAATCTTATTATCTGGATCCTCTTGTACCAGAAAATGTGTTAGATGCACCAAATGATGATCAGAAGATTAATACAATTTTGATAGATGTTAATTATCCCAGTGATCAACTATTCACAAATGAGATTTTCAAGGAATTCTATGATAATGTTCCAGAAGAATCAAAGGTTGATGACCTCATATCAAGCGACGTTGGTCCACACTACTTAATCACTTTTAGTGACTTCTCTGTTCCATGTGGCAATCATGTGTTAAATAAAGTCGAATTAATTTTAACTTGGGGATATGAAGACTCAACATTATTTCGTGGGAGAGGATGAACCCAGAAAATTTTAAAATCCGTATACTAACTCCGGATCTTTCAAAAAAGGGGAGGTGTTAGGTAGTCGGAAAAATAGACCAGTAATTATCATGTTAAGTCCAATGGTGTCCTTGGACCTTAAATGTACATTTCCCATTGGTCGACATTTATTTAACGTGTTATTTTCCTATTGGCCAATATTGTACAATGTTATTTTCTATTTTGTGGTACGTTGTGGTCTGCTTGATTGGTATATAAACAAAGTATGTTTGAAATATAATGATTCATAACTCAGAGGCTGTGATTTGTGTTTCTTGACTCAACTGGCTGGGACATACAACGAAGCAGGGTCAATCGGGGCACTAGGTCATCCTTACATGTTTACGTGTCACTGTCCACTGTAATCGATCGATAAATAACGCTGCTTATCATAACCTGCAGTCACACCCGTTACAACAATTGGCGACGGGGTAGAGAAAATTTTGAACCCTCTAATTGGACGAGATTCAGCATAATTATTTTGACCAATCGGTATCCAGATTTGTCATCAGCGTCCTTGGGAGTCATTGGTTGTTAATCGATCACAGCATTTCTCATTACCCTACTGATTCAGAAAATGACTATCCTTCCCTATCAGTTGCAGCTACTACTAGATCGCCAGCAGCAGCGTTTCAGAGAGAGCCAGTTGAATGTTTTGGACTATTTACGCACGCGACTGCTAGATCTCCCATGTTTCGGAGATGTGAAAGAAACTGATGAACTAATTTCTCACTTACATACTGAACTCGAAAATGACTGCAGGACGTATGAAGATGAAAACAAAAGCCTCTATGAATCCATGATGACCAGTGATGTAAACGAGACAGTTATTCATGATCCGCCCAGTTGTCCAGAAATGTCAAATTCCGAAACATCCCCTGTCGTGGGTTCAAATCCCACTGTTCCTGAAACGTGTACAGACAGTGATGTACCCAGCTCACAGGAAGAAGATCTCTTATTAAATGCTCATAAATTAATTACAGTACCCTCTCACAAGAAAACAGGAAACAAATCGTGCAGTATACTGAGTCTAGCTGCTCCAAACGGTCCTCATCAGTCAACAACAGGAGATTCTGATGAATCTTATTATCTAGATCCTCTTGTACCAGAAAATGTGTTAGATGCACCAAATGATGATCAGAAGATTAATACAATTTTGATAGATGTTAATTATCCCAGTGATCAACTATTCACAAATGAGATTTTCAAGGAATTCTATGATAATGTTCCAGAAGAATCGAACGTTGATGACCTCATATCAAGCGACGTTGGTCCACACTACTTAATCACTTTTAGTGACTTCTCTGTTCCATGTGACAATTATGTGTTAAATAAAGTCAAATTAATTTTAACTTGGGGATATGAGGACCCAACATTATTTCGTGGGGGAGGATGGACGCAGAAAATTTTAAAATCCAGATATTAACTCCGAATCTTTTAAAAAAAGGGGAGGTGTTAGGTAGTCGGAAAAATAGACCAATAATTATCATGTTAAGTCCAATGGTGTCCTTGGACCTTAAATGTACATTTCCCATTGGTCGACATTTATTTAACGTGTTATTTTCCTGTTGGCCAATATTGTACAATGTTATTTTCTATTTTGTGGTACGTTGTGGTCTGCTTGATTGGTATATAAACAAAGTATGTTTGAAATATAATGATTCATAACTCAGAGGCTGTGATTTGTGTTTCA